TGACCTGAGCCGAAGGCAGACACTTAATGACTGAGCCACCCAGGCGCCCCTCTTTTTTTTAATTTATTTACTTTTTAAGTAAGGTCAATTCCTAGCATAGGGCTTGAACTCATGACCCTGAAATCAAGAGTCATGTGTTCTACCGACTGAGCCAACCAGGTGCCCCTAGACTTCTTTATTTCTTTACACATAATATGCTCTTGACTCAGGTTTAATTGATTCTTTATCCTAAATAGTTCCTCCTTTTTTCCCTCCTTTTTTATTCTTTGCCTTTATAGTCTAGTACAGGATAAAATGATAAAAGCGGGAGTTTCTGTCTGTCTTTAGTCATTTGTTCCTGCAATACAATTCATTTTCTGTAATATATTTGTAATAGTTTTAAAAATCTTTGCCTACTAACTGGATCATTTGTGTGTCTGCTTATATTTGAGTTTTTTCTCTCGGTTCTCTCATAATTTCCTGCCTTTTTGAATGTCTTAGAAATTTTGATTATATGCCGAACATTACATGTAAAAGCAGCTAGGAGCTGCAAGTGATAAGATCTTTCCCTCTAGACAAGATTTGAGCTTTCTTCTGGTAGGCAGAAGCAGATTGATTGTCAGTCCAGTCAGGAATTGAGCTGGGTTAGGACTGAGCAGCCACTGTAATTAGACTCAGTCTACCTCTGATTTATCTCTGTTCCTTAGTCTTGACCTTTTCAGTCTTGATTTGGAAGTTGTCTGTTTTCTGTTACTTCAGTTCTGAAACACCAAGGGAGATTTAGTCCTGTTCTTGAGAGGGTTGAGATTAGCTCTTTAGTCTCTTACCCTGTAAGCTTCAAAATCTGGCAAATGTTTTGTGGGGGAGACCTCTCTTGTGTTTGATGAGAGTTTCTTCCTTCCACTGGAATTTCCACAAAACCACAGAGATGTTACTCTGCCTTTTTAGCCTGGCTCCCAGTCTCCCACCTTCCTCCTTAGAATTCAGGAAATGTTATATGGGGGGAAATCTGCTGTATGTTAGGAGCTCCTTTAGTTTCCAATTCACAGTGCCAGTCCTGTGCAACTGCCTAAAACTCTGCTGGTTTCCCCCTGGTCCCGTATCTGCAGAGCCCCTCAGGAAAAAAAGACCATCTTTCTGGAATTCCATTTTGTTCTTGTAGCTTCTTTCCTTCATCTCCAGAACGTGATTTTTGTAATTTAGCCAGGGTTTTTTAGTTGTTGCAATAGGAGCACTGGTTTGTCATGATCTACCACATCCTACTCAGAACTTTGATACAGTTTAAACAAACTATATGATTGACGCTTGTGGCTCAGCAAAAGTGTTATTAGCACATATCAGGAATTAATCATGAATAGTCAAATCATAGATGTGAATAGATGTGATTTATATCCATTAATTTGACTTCTGATGAGATACGGTTTCTTTAAGAATTTAACCAAGGTTGGGGCATCTCGGTGTGTCAGTTGGTTAAGCATCTGACTTCAGCTCAGGTTATGACCTCAGGATCATGGGATCGAGCCCCACGTCAGGCTCCATGCTGAGCATGGAGTCTGCTGCACCCTCTCCCTCTGACCCTACCCCTGCTCATGCACGATCACACACATGCACACTCTCTCACTCTCTCTCAAATAAATAAATAAAATCTTTAAAAAAAAGGTTTGGGGCGCCTGGGTGGTTCAGTCGTTAAACGTCTGCCTTCAGCTCAGGTCATGATCCCAGGGTCCTGGGATTGAGTCCCACGTCAGGCTCCCTGCTCAGCGGGGAGTCTGCTTCTCCCTCTACTCCTCCCCCGTACTCGTGATCTTTCTCTCTCTCATGCTCTCTCTCTGTCTCAGATAAATAAAATCTTTAAAAAAAAAAAGTTTGACTAAGGTTTTATAAGAACAGACATGCTGAAAGCCAGAGTTGATTTAGGCTACAACTTTTTAGTTGTGTAAATATATGTACAGGGGCGCCTGGGTGGCTTAGTCAGTTTAGCGTCTGACTCTTGATTTCAGCTCAGGTCATGATCTCAGGATTGTGAGATTGAGCCCATGTTGGGGTCTGCTCTGGGCATAGAGTCTGCCTAAGATTCTGTCTTTTCCTCTCCCTCTACCCCTCCCTCTCTAATAAACAGCAAAAAAAGAATATCTTGATGAAGATGTTATTACCATGTTCCTCCATTTATGCTAAAGTGAGTTTAACCTTTGCTGGTATCTTCTCTATTATTTTTTGCCCCCAAAACAACCTGTTGGCAATTGTAATTTTTAAAAAGTAATTACTACTTTATTTTAATAAAACTTGAATGTAGAGGCCTTTGGCCCTACCCTTTGCCAGGCACTAGGGCCTTGAAATACATTTTGAACAAAGATTCTTCATGGAACCTGTATTCTGGCTGGAGGAGACAAAAATAATTTTTTTAAAAAGCATAATAAACTTAGAAGTGTGCTAAGTGATAAGCACTGGAAAAAAATTTAGAACACTGTAATTAAGAGAAGGGGAATCAAGAGTGCTTGGGTGGTTTCAGTTTTAAATAGGGTCATTGAGAAAAGGGGGCTTTTAAGCAAAGACTTCCAGCTGTTTATAACTAGACTGCTTCAAAGATCTGATGTGAATAAGACAACATGAGTATGATTTTACTTCAATTTGTTACATGAGATTTTATATGTAAGATAGAAGTGTTTCTATCTTTTTAAGAAATGTATCTTAAAGAATCTTTTAAATGTTTTAAATTTAGTTTTAAATTTATTAAATTTAAATAAAAAGTCAAACATACTTTAAAAATACAAACATTGAGAAATTTTTATTTTTTATTTTTAAAGGTTTTATTTATTTATTTGACAGAGAAAGACACAGCGAGAGAGGGAACATAAGCAGGGGTAGCGGGAGAGGGAGAAGCAGGCTTCCCGCCGAGCAGGGAGCCTGATGCGGGGCTCGATCCCAGGACCCCGGGATCATGACCTGAGCCGAAGGCAGACGCGTAACGACTGAGCCACCCAGGCGCCCCACAAACATTTAGAAATTTTAAATCCTTTACAGTTAAACTCATGGTTGAAGCTATAATTTTCCCCATATGCATATTCTAACATCAGTGATAAACTGTTTATAAGATGGAACTACACTGTATGTAATACTTTATTAAGCCTCTTTCCATATCAATATAATTCCATAAAGTTCCCTTGTTCAGAATTTTGGGCATGATGTATTTGGTGATTCAGAAACTTTCTGAAAGTTGTTAGAGTATATTTGTTGTGTATTATGTATTTTCAGAGTTCACTGTGTTATTTCTGGTAGCATAATTTTGTTTAACTAAGTGACAGAAGTGAATAAGACACTTCTTTAGCTGCTTTTTTAAGAATTCTTTGTTTTATGGGACTCTTGCTTTTGTTTATTCCTTTCAGAGAAAATTTGTCAAAGGATCTTTACCTGATATCTCAAATGGACAGTGATCAGTTCATCCCAATTTGGACAGTTGCCAACATGGAAGAAATAAAAAAGCTGACCACAGACCCTGATCTAATTCTTGAAGTGTTGAGATGTATGTAAATCATACCTTTTAGCTATAGCTATTTTTTTAAGTCAAAAAGCTAAATATTCTTCTGATTTCTGATCATACAGGGAAGTTTTTGGTTTTGTTGGCCATTTTATTTTTATTTTTTTAAATTGTAGTTGACATATAATGTATTTTTTCAAGTATACAACATAGTGATTCCACAATTCTTTTTTTTTTTTTTTTAAGATTTTATTTATTTATTTGAGAGAGACACAGCGAGAGAGGGAACACAGGCAGGGGGAGTGGGAGAGGGAGAAGTAGGCTTCCCGCCAAGCAGGGAGCCCGATGCGGGGCTCGATCCCAGGACCCTGGGATCACGACCTGAGCCGAAGGCAGACGCCCAACGACTGAGCCACCCAGGTGCCCCGATTCCACAATTCTATACATTAAGCTATGCTTCTCAGGCAGGGAATTGTTAACTCCCTATTTTTTGTTATTCTGTTCCAATAATTTATCTTTATTTTTACTGACTTGGTATATAGCTTCTATATCACTTCAGTACCTTGTTTGTTCATCATCCACTTACTCCAAGTATAAGCAATTAAATCTGTTTTCTAGGCTATTAGAAAGTTACATGTATCATTATCACATCTTCTAAAGCATTGTTTCAAACTTTTGAACCCAAGTAAGAAGTACATTTTACGCTATAGCCCAGTACATACACCACATACCCACACACAACTGAAATGTTAATTATTCAGATTAATACTAAATGCTTGGAATTAACTTTTTTTTCCCCCTAAATTGATTTCACAACCTGTTAAAGAATTGCAGTCTGTAGTTTGACTTTACCAAACTCTAAAGTTTGGTAAAGAATTTGAGGTTCTAAGCATTTTTAGTGGTCTTTATGTCATATCAGTATTTCTTGCTAACCTTTCTTAGCAAAACCTTACCAACGTTTTAACTACTTGACTGAATAAAGGCAGCTCTTCATTTTTATATGAAATGTGTTGTTGAAAATGTTTAAAAGTTAAATATACCAAGTACAATAATAGGCTTATATGAGAGTAGATTTCCATTCTCAGAGGGCTAAAAACATTTATGAAATCTCTGATTGGTTTGTGCAGTGGTTTCTTAAAACAACCCAGTCTTGTAATCAGAAAAAAATCAGCCAAGACACCAGCAGAATCCTCCACTAAGGGCTAGAATCTAGTACTTACTTAAGCCCAACTCTTCTTCCCTTTTTCTTGTATTCTCACTTCTTACCTGTTCAGAGAGGTGTGGCATATTATCTCTCTGAAGGGACTAGGAATAAAAGTTTTGGTTAGATTGTACTATCTTCATTAAATATTTCCTCAAAATCAGCATCTAAAAGATGGCTTCTCAGTGTCTGTAATAGTATGTAAGAATAAATATGTTAAAATCAAGGGAAAGTTATAATCATTTGAGTTTAATTCTTTGTTTAAGTGCTTCTTAGACTTGAATTTTAAGAATTTCTTCGCATGTCAGAATGCAATACTGTCATCCAGTTACAAGAGTAGAATGCAAGTACACTGATTTTTATTATCTCCAGAAATCCAGAATTCAGTAATTATACACAGGGTAATTTTACCTTGTTAGATATGTATTGTATACTCCTGAAAGTTTTTCAACCCCAACACAGTGCCAAGACACAAAGTAGGTACTCTGTATATTTGTTCAAAGAATAACACTTGACAGTGTTTCTTGTATATTAATCTAAAAATATTTTGTTACAACTGTAATCTTTGGTTCTACAGTTTAATTTCTCTGCTAATTTATTCACTTGGAAATAGAAATGAATAGTTTTTAATGGCAATATTAATATCTCTCCTTGTCACTTTTGAATGAAACTTTTTTAAATTTCAGCTTCTCCTATGGTACAAGTTGATGAGAAGGGCGAGAAAGTGAGACCAAGTCATAAGCGTTGTATTGTGATTCTTAGAGAGATTCCTGAAACGACGCCTATAGAGGTAAATTATTAAGCATTGTTAAAGCTAAGTGGTTTTTTTTTTAATTTTATGTTATTATGTTATGTTAATCACCATACATTACATCATTAGTTTTTGATGTAGTGTTCCATGATTCATTGTTGGCGTATAACACCCAGTGCTCCATTCAGTACATGCCCTCTTTAATACCCATCACCAGACTAACCCATCCCCCCACCCCCCTCCCCTCTAGAGCCCTCAGTTTGTTTCTCAGAGTCCACAGTCTCATAGTCCAATCATCTCCCCCTCCGATTTCCCCCCCTTCGTTTTTCCCTTCCTGCTATCTTTTTTTTTTTTTTAACATATAATATATTATTTGTTTCAGAGGTACAGGTCTGTGGTTCAACAGTCTTACACAATTCACAACACTCACCATAGCACATACCCTCCCCAATGTCTATCACCCAGCTGCCTCATCCCTCCCACCCCCACCACTCCAGCAACCCTCAGTTTGTTTCCTGAGATTAAGAATTCCTCATATCAGTGAGGTCATATGATACATGTCTTTCTCTGATTGACTTATTTCGCTCAGTATAATACCCTCCAGTTCCATCCACGTCATTGCAAATGGCAAGATTTCATTCCTTTTGATGGCTGCATAATATTCCATTGTGTATATATAGATAGATAGATAGATAGATAGATAGATATACACCACATTTTCTTTATCCATTCATTTGTTGATGGACATCTTGGCTCTTTCCATAGTTTGGCTATTGTGGACATTGCTGGTATAAACATCAGGGTTCATGTACCCCTTCAGATCCCTACATTTGTATCTTTGGGGTAAATACCCAGTAGTGCAATTGCTGGGTCATATGGTAGCTCTATTTGAGGATCCTCCATACTGTTTTCCAGAGTGGCTGCACCAGCTTGCATTCCCACCAACAATGTAGGAGGGTTCCCCTTTCTCTTTTAGCCATTCTGACTGGTGTGAGGTGATATCTCATTAAGCTAAGTGTTCTTTAACTGTTTAAATTGAAGGTAAACGAAGTATAAGTCAGTGCCCTCATATCAATTATGTGACTAGGTTAAATTTTGTTTTGTAAATTCTGAAACACTGGAAGAATGGTACAGAGGGAGGAGGAAGATATAATTCCATGTTCTTAGAATGGTGGACTGAGTATTGCAGTGTTACTAGTTCTCAATTTATTGATTTGACTGGCAATTAAAATATAAATAGGCTCTTTTGGGAACTTGAGGATTAATCTGAAAGAATAAACTTAGGAATGAAGAAGAAAAATAAGATTCGAGACTAATTCTACTAGCTAGCAAATATAAAGCAGAGTTGCAGTCATAAAGATGGTGTGGTACAGGTAAAGGAATAAAATAGTATTTGAATGAAACAGTATAATCCTGGAATAGACCCTTTTATATAGTAATGTATGTATGATAACATTTATTTAGTAATTAGGTTCTACCAAGTATTGTGCTGTGTACTGTATGGTAATTTAAAACCTAAGGTTTTGTTATCTCTTGTTTTACAGATAAGTAACTGAGCCTTTGTATGGTTAAATAACTTGCCTAAAGACACATGGGCGGTTTAAATGACAGAATCTGATTTGAACTCGCTCTCTCTGATTCCAAACCCTATGTTTCTTAACCAGTAAACCACAGGACTTCACACTAAGTTGCCATGTTAATGATAATAAGTTAAAGATAGGGAGGATTAATTAGTAACTGATATATGGTAATTGGTTAGCCATTTAAAAAAGAATTTTTAGATTCTTGCCACCTAACAAATGTGGCACATTAGTAGTTAATCTTTTTGCCCAGATTCATTCAGTATTAACTCTCCAGAATAAAGATTTCCTAAACTTAGAAACAGTGAGAGAAATTAGAAAAGAAACTGTCACTAGATAGATCTTCTTTTTAAAAATTATGAACTATATGTCAAAAGTAACAGATTGAAAGGAAAATTGCAGAATGGGAAGAATATTTGCATTATTAAGAAACAGTGTAGGATATATGAGCCTGCACTCTAGAGCCAAGCTGCCTGGATTTAAATTCCAACTTTTTACTTGATAACTCTATGACCTTGCATAAGTTACTTAACCTCTTTTGCTTTGTTTTTTTTCCATCTGTTAAATGGGTAATAGTAATAAGTAACTCATAAAATTGTGAGAAATAAGTGAGTTAGTATATAAAGAACTTAGAGCAGTACTTGGCATGTAAAACAAATCTAAGATTAGCCCATATTATTATTTTTATAATTATTGTAATTTATATTCTGAATACATAGGTCACACACGAAAAGCAATAAATAAAAAGGAACAAGGCAGCAACATACCGTTCATTAAAAAAAAGTAAAAAGTGCAGATGACTAAGATAGCCAGAGAAAGTCAGCCTAGGTAGTAATCACTGAAATTCAAATTAACATAAGGGATTTGGGGTGGTGACCTTAAAGGTTCCTGTCAGGTGGAACAAATTACTTTAGATCCAGACTTCTTTTTTTATACTTGGGAAAGTAAATCTATGAGCATAGCTCTTCCTAAAGAATAATAAAGGCTGAAAATGAAAAGATTTAAATAAATGAATCAGTTCATTATACATTTAAGAGAATTAGAAATATTTGGAGAATATCTGGATTTTTGAAGGTAGAGATCAGTGGGTGGCAGTCTAACAGTTCCACAGATAGTTCTATGATTACAGAAATGTAATTCTGGACTGGATGAGAATTTTATTAACTGAACTTGGTGATATTTCACCACTTTCACAAATGTCACAAAACTCAGCTGGTTGCACACTATTTATTTCGAGTAGTATTTGACCCAAGCAAATTTCATCATAAGTAGAGACGTAATTTTTTTTAATTCAGTGTAGCAAAAATTTGAGGGAATTAGAATACAGGTTAGACTTCACTGTTATCATGTTGATTGTCCCATCAGCTTAGTAATTACCTTTTTAAAAATGGATACCTTGTGATATTTTGGTATTTTGTGGGCACTTTAACCTGATAAGATTCTTCAATATTTGGGAATTAATGGTTATTATTGAATTTCTCCTTGAACTCAGGTAGGTATTAGACAAAATGGAGTTTGGAGACATACAAATCTGGATTTGAGTTCTTTGTCATAGTGTGAGTAAGTTAAACAGTTTGAGCTACCATTTACTCAGCTGTAAAATGGATATGATAAAATCTTTCAAACAAAATCTGTGTTTCACCCTGCATGGGATTTCAGTAAATGTTTCCTTTCTTCCTATAACCGTTTAGAGATACTTAATGTTGACTTCCAGTTGTTTTCTTTCTTTTCTTTTTATAAATTTCTACACAGTTCTGAGTTTTGATAATCATCTTTTTTGAAATGCATATATTTGTTTTAGGTTTCAGTTATTGAAATTTCAGTTTCAATTATGGAAGAGCAAAGCTATCTTTGCACAGAGTTCGTATCTGTGACTGATGTAGACAGAGCATCTGGATTGAATGAGAATGCATGAAAATAAATAAGCACTAGAAAATGTTAATGGAGGACATACTTTTCCTTTTTTGGATAATGGCAGGTCTAGAGAGATTTTACTGTTAAGGAAAATTTAGCTTGCCACTAAGAGTGAAATGCTTCAGTTTTGCTGATATTAAAATAAGATTCTATCTCTAAATCATATTCAAAATTTACACTAAAGTTTTTCTTTTTTAGGAAGTTAAAGCTTTGTTCAAGAATGAAAACTGCCCCAAGGTGATAAGCTGTGAGTTTGCACACAATAGCAACTGGTATATCACTTTCCAGTCAGACACAGATGCACAACAGGTGAGAAAAACTTTTCTTCTGATTTGAAGTCCTGGTGATACAAGAAGTAGTGGTATATTTTAACGGAGAAAATATGTGCTCACAGCAATATTTGTAAAGACTGTTGAGCTATTGAGCACCTTGTTCAACTTCTTGGTTGTGCTTCTTTTTTTTTAAGATTTTATTTATTTATTTGAGAGAGAGAGAATGAGAGAGAGCAAGCACATGAGAGGGGGGAGGGTCAGAGGGCAAAGCAGACTCCCCACCGAGCAGGGAGCCCGATGCGGGACTCCATCCAGGGACTCCAGCATCATGACCTGAGCCGAAGGCAGTCGCTTAACCAGCTAAGCCACCCAGGTGCCCCTTGGTTGTGCTTCTTAATTGGTTTCCTTTTTGATCATTTTCCTAAAGCTTTTTCAGTTTCAATTTAAGAAGTTTGTTTCCTGGGGCACCTGGGTGGCTCAGTTGTTAAGCGTCTGCCTTCAGCTCAGGTCATGGTCCCAGGGTCCTGGGATCGAGCCCCGCATCGGGCTCCCTGCTCTGCATCGGGCTCCCTGCTCTGCGAGAAGCCTGCT